CTAAGGGGGGTCCCATCCAAAATGGTGGGCGGCGGGCCTTGGCTCGGCCACACGCCCACTACAGGCATTCAATTCACTAACTTTACGGAGATTTACAGCCATAGAAGTAAACGGACCACCTGCTCTCGCACCGTCTCGGTACGTACCATTGCGAAAATTGCACCAGGAACAACGCCTCAACAGAGCATTCACACACCTTGTAAGCCAAAGATGGTAATGTGAATCTCCCAAGCCCTGTGACAGCCAGCCATTCAGAACACAGGACCCCGGGGCCTTCGTTGGTCTGTGCACGATACCAGATGGAAGAAAGCAATGGTTCCAGAATGAGACCACTATCAAATTGTCCTCCCGGCTTCCGGGCCCATTTACATGCCTCTGCACCAGTAAAAGCGAATACATATCGCTTTAGCATTGTCACCGCCTGAAAAGCATCGTATGTGTGTTTATCGACTTTACGGGGATCTCACGGGAATTTGAGGGATCTTCTCAGGTCATTTCAAGGTCCCTGGTGTTGTCTTTTTTCGTCCCTTGTCCAGGGTCCAGCACTTTGAGGGGGACCGTCCGTCTCTTTTACACTGCCATTGAAAGCGGTGAAGATCGAAATCAGGCCCAATTCGGCCATTGCCACAACTTGTGATTGGCCTACGAGCGACGTCTTTTACGGTCATTGAATTGATCTAGATTTGGTTCCTGTAACGCAAAATAACACAGAGTGTTCATGTTTCAGTCTCTGGAGCACCCTTGTTGCTGGCATGTCCCTATCCTAATCACAACAGGTGATTTTTACATTGAACGCGTCCTGTATGGATCAAGTGGCAACATTCAACACAGGGGTTTTCAATCTAGGATCTCGTCAAACAAAGCATTGCCGTGAAAACTCCATCGGATGGCGCTCTCCCGGACGCGAGAGATTTAGAGAAAGTGGTGTGTTCTAAGCAGCGGGTTCAGAAGCGGCCTTTGCGGCCAAATTTTTGAGGTTAGATGGTTACTCATCGATAGAGTGCAGATCGCGCCAGGGGCAAAGTATTAGATTATCAACCAATCTACTGGGTCAGAATCAGCCACCCCTTACGCCAATCGCCCAGTTCCGATGATCTCATGAGGCGTGTCTCTTTTTCGTTTTCGGCTCTCGATTTTTGTAGAAGTTCTGCACGTTCTTCTACGCCTCTCCCGCTCGTTCTCGCTCACACGATCAAGTTGTTGCAATTCCAGCGACTCTTGATTATCTCTTCACATGTATTCCGTTACATCCAATCGGGCACCTTGCAATTGAAACCTTTGATTATTGACAAAAGATGGTATGACTTGGTTTTCACTATACATTTGCACTTAGATGAAGTACATATGTATTCCAGTTTGGGTTTGGTGTTTCCGTACTCGGTCTGAGTATAACCCGAATACGAATGGGAACTCAACACCAGCGGCGTCTAAAACGGTCTGCATTTTAGGGTCTAGGTTAGCCTCCGAATTTCATCATCAGTTTGTATGCCAGTGACCGCGTCGTCTCATATATATGGCTATGTCTTGGAACTATTGCAAGCGAGATCTATCGGTTTGCATATAAGATATGCTTGAGATAAGTTGTATACTTTAGTTGGTCTATCGGGTTTTGACTTCACTTTGCAGTTCAGAAAGGGCTGCCGTCAATGTAAAGCAACATGGCGATTCCGTTTTCTCCTATAAATAATTATCTGAAACTCGAATATTGTAACATGAGAAACATATGCCCAAAGAACACATTCATAGCCACAGCTGATCATTGCATTCTCTCTACGCATTTGGACAGCGATAAGATCTAAGTGAATTACTGCCGAATACGAATAAGTCTCTAATCAGCAACCACACCTTCTTTTCAAGCTTGTGAAACATCATATTGTGGTTAGATCATTATGCAATGCATTGTGCAAGGAAAGCTGTGTAATTGATGATTACAACGGGTGTCAGCCTTGCAACCATTGAAACCCAGTTTAACACTGCATCTTGCAATGTTTTTTGGTTGTTTTCTCATGTACGGAGCCGGGCTGAGCTGATCCGTGTGGCATGATGCAATAAATGTTCCCCACATTTGCTCATCTCCCGCCCGCATTCGTGTTTAGAGCTTGAGGTACAAGCTCAAGCTCAAGCTTACACTCACACTTCTCACCCTCGTCTCGCTTCCATCCACACGCGATTCGACGCCCGGTGCCCGTTGCGCAGCCCTGCCCCGAATTTTCCGTCGAGCCCCCCCGACTTGGCGCTCACTATCCGGCCGAGAAGCTGCTGGCACCGCCGTTATCGTCGTTGTCACCCCCGGGTCTCTCGCCGAGCTCTCCACCGATTTTTCGGAGCTATCGTCCCGTCTCATTCCGCGTTATCCCCGGTCTATAGTTGCTCTCTGCAACTTCGGCTGCTGCTGACAGATGCTGTGCTTCACACGTCAGCCTTGTCGTTACCAGATCTAAGCAAGCTCATCCTTGATCCTACCATGACGCTTGTCTCCGAGTTCGTCAACCTCAACATGGGCCCTGCTACTATTGCCCCTCACCTTACATAATCTGTCGAGTTACTAACCCTGCTCATAGCCAAGTACGGCGGCTTGATGCCTACCTTGACCGTCTTCCAGTGTTATCCGAAGCTGCTTCAGAGGATGATCAGTCAGAGACCGAAGAGCATGGGTTTGCTGTAGCTGCTGCCTTCTCATCCCCGCGTCTTGATCACTTGCTCCGTACCATTCAGTCATTAAGTACTACATCATCTTCGCAACCTCTTCTGCCGGCATGGCGCATCAGGGATCTTCTCATATCGTCTGATATCCCTGCACCTGCTCACCTCTCAGTGAGAGAGGCACAACCAGGTGACGAGGCTAAAAGCCCTTATGAGAATGAGCTGGAGTGGCTGCTTGTGAGTAAGGCCACCATTCAACTCCATGGCGTGGTTCTCAACACACTCCTGGATCAAATTGTTCCTCTTAATGATGACATCTGGTACTGGGATGATGTTCTAGGCTCGTATTCCTACAGCAGCCTATATGCTGTCCAGAGTTCGCCTTTGCGTGTCTGGGCATGGTCTCAAGAAGTCTACACTGCAACGAAGCTGCGCGTCCAAGCTGGTTCCCTTCATCATGCCCCAGGTGAACTCGTGGATTCCACGACATCAAGTCTGTCACAGCAGTGGACGCAGTTTTATGGTATCGTGCATGATAGTATCCGGGAACGATCAATTGCCAATATTCAAAGAAGAGTTTTGTCGCCTGTTGCGCTATCTCGATCCGAAGCACGACGCAAACAAGCACAGCTCAAGAAACTTCGTGAGATAACGGCAAGCGGACTTGGTGTACTGATGGATGAAGGCCTGCAATTTGGTCTCGACGACGACAAGGCTGAGCTTCAGGACCACCACGATCTCAAGGGTGTTGTCGAACGTAGTGTTGCGCTTATCGATATGGTTCTCAAGGAAGTTTCTACTCTGGACGTCAACATTAGCGACTTTGAGGACAAGGTTTTTGCTGGTGTTGAGGAAGACCCTGAGCTTTCTGTTCACATCGAAGACAGCAACACCGCCGATCGCCCAGCCATTCTAGCCCGACGACTGCTCACCATTATCGACAAGTCTCTCCCCGAACATCTCACTGCAATGCACGCTCTGGCCAAGGAAAATGGTCGACCGTCCACTCTCATCCGATACTGGCTCCCTGCAATTATTGGTCTTCTCTCTTCGACAACTGTCTTGCGCATTCTGGTCAATCGGAAGGCCGACATCATTGAGTGGTTCGTTGGATTTGGTGAAACTGTTCGTGATTTCTGGTTTAACTGGGTTATTGAACCGACGTCAAAGATTATCTCAACCATTCGACACGACAAAACCAGCGAGATAGCCATCATGAGTAGGGATAGTCTTAAGGCGGACCGTGAGAGTCTTGAGCGTATGGTTGTTGACTTTGCCCTCGACAAGCCTCACTTTGCCAATGAAACCGGTAGCACCTTGACTGAGACTCAAGTCGCTGACATCCGAAACAAGGTTGCCGAGGGTGATGTCACTCCAGTGCTCCGAGCCTTCGAGAAGGATTTGCGAAGCCCTTTCATGGGCACTATTCGTGGAGATCTGGTTCGATCACTTCTCATTCAGGTTCAGAAGACAAAGGTTGACCTGGAGGTCGCCATGACTGGCATTGACTCCCTTCTCAAGAGCCAGGAACTTGTCTTTGGTTTCGTTGGTCTTACTCCTGGTGTGCTCGTCTCTTATAGCATGTTCCAGTATCTGCGCGGTGTTTTTGGCGGCCGCTCTGGTCAACGCCAAACCCACAAAGCTGGCAAGGCCATACGTGTTCTCCGCAACGTAGACCGCATCCTCTCCGAGGCCCGACCTACAGAGACCAATCTTCTCTCTTATAAGGACCACGGTCTCTTGCTCTCTGAAGTCCATATTCTGAGAGACCTCGTTGATAAGCTCATGCCCCGTGAAATCGCGAGGGAGTTCCTTGAGGATCTCGATGATTTGTCGAACATGAAGGGTATTCAGCTGCAGACCAGGGCACTGGAGCGTATTCGTTGGGCTTATGCGAGATGGCTACACTAGGCGAGCCATCAAAGGTGTTCGTTACGGGTCTAACGATAGCATGTATACTAGCCCTTGCTGGGCAGGTAAAATAACACCAATGTACTTATACACATAGGTAGATTGCATAAACGAGTCATGATTAGATGCATAAACCTCTTTATTTAGAGCTCGATCTTCTGGAGCTACAGTGGCTTACTTGCCAAATATCCTAGAATCTGGAACCACTCTGTGTCGCCATCAGTACACAAGAGCTTGATGCCAGCATATTGGCATCACAGCAGCAGGCTCCACAGGTTGGTTATAACTCTTTATTATAAGGGCTACGCTTATTGACAATCCATTTCTCGCATATCCGATGCTGAGTATACATATTCCTTTCCGCACACTTGATACACTCTATGAGTCTGGTATTTCACAATCAGTAACTTCCTACCAAACCAACGCCTATATTATCAGACAAATCCCTAGCCAAGTAGCTTGGAAATGTCTGCCGCGCGTGAATTCTCACGCTTTTTGTTTCCTTTCTCTCTGAATGCTTTCGTCACGAGCTCTCGCTTCTCACCCTGCACGTCTAGCACACGCTCCTCAACCGAACCTTCCATGACGAGTCGGAAGATGGTAGTCTCGCGGGTTTGTCCCAGACGATGGACGCGGTCAATAGCCTGATCCTCGATGGCGGGTGCCCACCCTAAATGTATTAGTATGCTCTAGAGATGTGGTAGTTTGGACTTACAACTGTCAGAGAGGATGACGGTGTCAGCTGCAACGAGGTTAAGACCGACACTGCAGACAGAAAGACTAGCGAGCATCACTCGTGTCTTGGGGTCGCTGTCGAGAGCCTCTATGGCTTTGTCGCGCTTATCGGCTTTCATGCTGCCGTCAATACGCGTGTAGCCCATGTTTTCTTTCTTGAGCTGCGCCTCAACAATATTGAGAAACGAAGTCCACTGAGAAAACACAACAACCTTTGATCCCTCCTTATTCATCGTCGCCTTCAGAATTTGCAGCATCGCTTCCGTTTTGGAACTCTGCGAGTCGGCGTCAAAATCGCGTGAATCATCGCCGGCGTCTTCGGGCGCTGGTTCAAGAATACTGTTCTCGTCCAACTTGTTGCGACACATTGGGCATTTGTGCTGCAATTGGATAGCGCGCAGGATGCAGTTTTTGCAGAAGACGTGTTTGCAGGTCGTGATGACAGGGTCGTTCGGGTTGTCGTAGCAGATTGCGCATTCTTCCTGGCTTTCGACGTATAGGCGGAGAGCTTCTTGGAGAAGGCCACGGTTCTTGGCGTTGAGGGGAACAACCTCATGCTCGTCAAGGAGTTTGAGGATATCACTAACGCGTTCTCTACAGAGAGTCCAGTGATTACAGCTGGGAGGCTTTAGTAGAGTCCTGCGATGATGGGATCTGAACTTACATTTGTCGAAGACGAAGAAGCCGTTCAAGGACGTTCTGAAACCGTCCCTTCTGTCCTGATTGCGAGCCTGCTTGCCACTGCTCGAGCTCACCTCTTGCCTCATCCCTATAATCGTCAGTGTCAATTCTAGAGACCCAGGGCTTCATGAACCTACAGCAAAGCATCATACTTGCGCTTCTCATCCTTGCGAAATGGAATTCTGTGGACATACTCCTTCTTGGCCGGCAATTTGAGATCTATAAACTTCATGTCCTTCCTGCGGCGGAGACAAAGGTCATGCATGAGGGCCTGAAGAAGTACTTCGCCATGGCGTTCACCGTTGGCCAATTTGCGAGTGATTTGGGCATTGAAGATTTCGGATTCCTCGATACCGCCGGTGATGTGGAGGAACTTGACCAGGGAGTGAAGGTCCTTGACTGAGTTTACGCTATATCGAATTAGCCGCTGTTTTGTGTCATAAAAAAGAAGAAGGGCTTACATAGGTGTTCCTGTCAGAACCCAGCGAGACTCTGCGTTAATCTCGCAAGCAGCCAAGGCCACCTTGGTTCTCGAATTTCGGATGGTATGACCCTCATCAAGAACTACCCGCCGCCATTTAATTTTCGGAGAAGTTATAGCTCTGGGAACGCTCGAGTCTCGCTCCCTGGCAAGTCTTCCATAGCTGGTGATCACAACATCATATCTCTGGAGTTGCAATGGGTGTAACTTATCACCTCCGTGGTAGACGAAGATGCTTGGTTGCTGGTCACCTTTGACATGGCGCCTGATCTGCTGACTCCAGTTGCTCATGACGCTGACGGGCGCAACGATGAGAGTTGGACCCTTGCCACCAGTGAGGATTAAGCTGATGATCTGAAGGGTCTTTCCGAGGCCCATATCATCTGCAAGAATACCGCCGGAAAGGAGTTTTGGAGCTGTGCTTGTGACAAAGCCGGATGCGATATTGTGGAAACGGTTATTGGATTTATGGAGCCAGAGCTGCACTGGCTCTTTGGAGTCTTTGGCAGGAAGCTGAGGGTTTTCTTTGGAGGTCATCCACGCAAGGCCCTGTGATAAGCTAGTCAGCAAAATGCGCTTCTCGGCGAGAAAGAGACAAACCTGTAATTGGTATGGCAGAAGCTGTGCCTTGAGCTGTTCGGGCTGCTCGGCCATTGGCATCTTCGCAAGCTCATCCTCGCCAATAGCAAGTGACTTGATCGCGTCTCCGCCTTTGCGCATCTCCACGGCCTCACTCTTCTGCAGAACATTGTCCATCGTGATCTCAGGCTTCTGTGGAACAGCAAGGTCTTGGCCAAGACCATGAGTCGAGCTGCCATTCACAAGCCCCATGGCTGCCTTTCTACGGGCTTCAGCTTCCTTTCTAGTGTTCTTGAGCTCCGTAGCCTTGACAAGCCTATCCCTCTTGAGCGATTCTTCGATTCTGGAGCGCTCCTCCGGGTCGCTAGGTCCATAGAAGAAGAGCTTAACTGGACAGTCGTAGAAGCCCTTCTCACCTGTGAGCTGGGCTTCGAGGACAACGTCACCACGATCCTGGTTTCGCGTCAGACATGGCAATGATGAACGGCGCAACGTTTCGTCTTACCACATATGGGGCGATCTTCTCAACAACCTTTCGAGGAAGATGGCCGATTTGATCACCGACAACGTTGTCAACGCGAATGGCGTTGGAGTCGTACTGAGATGTCAGACGTCAGTTCCAGACCATGTCGCAGGAGAGACAGAGAATGAGACCACTTGGAGTAGCACGAACCTGGTTGTTGGGTTCTCGTCTGCAAAGAACGTTTTCTGTAAACTTGTAAGCCTTTGTCGCGTAAGCTAAAGCACGAAAAACGTACCACCCGCTGAAGCATATCCTCTGTAGTACCTCACACCAACAATCTTCCCATCTGTTCATGTTAGTGAGATGGATGAAGTGTGATAAAAGTGTCGTACCAAAGGTTCCGTAAAGCTCAAGAGGGGGGCCATCATCATCTTGTGTCAAGTCAAGGTAATCTGGTTCAGCGGTAGATGAGGGCGCAGCTTGCGATGAAGAACTCCCATAGACGCTTGTTCCACCTTGTCCAGGGGAATGATGTTGTTGATTATGGTGACCTTTAGGGGCGGGCCGTTTCTGACGCGTCTCAGACTCATCGTCACCCGTAAGGTCGATGAGTTCGTGCGCGCGTTTAGCAGGTCTTCGTGGCATTTTGACGATGGAAAATTTGTGATACGATGAGAAGCGAAAGAAGCAAGAGAGGCTCCTCTCCTCTTTGGTGAGTTTTCCTTTTAAAGAAGTGAAACGCTGCCCCTCACGATTGCGTTTCCCTCGCCTTGTATATGATCTCGCGTCACAGAATTAATTGCTTGTTGGAGATGGTGCGGATCAATCGGATAACCCGGGATGTAAACTCTAAGTAGAAGCAGATGGAGATGTCCATGTAACGAACAATGCAACTAATATAAAATCGGAAGAAGGCTTCTCCCAACTTTATTTATCAATTTTATTTTTTCAATTGCATTGTTCAATTGTATTGTGCATGAAAAGTGAATGGCAAACACTTCAAGGTACGCGGGCGACTAACGCGACGGGCACCTTACGTCACTGCCTTGCAGTTGAGACCATTCCAACTCATTGGGTCAATCATAATTGGACATACCTACCTAGGTATATCTCCTCGGTGAGATAAAAAAACAAGTGCCATTGTTTGCGGTAAATGTATTTTCATCTGATACTGTCAATCCCTCATTGAGAGCCTATCTGTTCTATTGAACCACAAGCTACGATGTAATTGTTGGGATCTCTATCTACAGCAGTTGGACTCAAGACAGCAAACAACCCAGTTATCTCGAATTTAGTTATGGGTTAAAAGTAGGGACGTGGCACAGCCAGTGTTAATACCACAATGCGTCTGACTTTCACGGAGAATTATTCACTGCACTCCTGACTCCCACTCAATCAACGTTGGGAGAATCGGACGGGAGGGCCCGATGCAACCCTTTTCCGGTGGCCCGCTATACTGACCCTGGAAAAGTGTCAGGTACAGGAACCATTATGGGCAGACTGAGGCTTGGCTTTACATGGGCATGCTGTGGATAGGTAGCATCAGGTTGTTAATTATCTCTGTTAAACCAGTCCAATTGATACTACTCATAAAAGTGTTTAACTATTCTGAATCGACTTAGCGCTCGTGAAGATATAACCATGCAGAGCTGGTGCCAGGTTTGGGCCACCACTGCTAGAACACAATAGAGAGAAATGCAGCAGCAAAGAGTTTTCATTATCGAAGCTACACAAGTTTTATATGCTATTCCAGAAAAAAGGAAATCCCATCCGTTTTTGACAGCCCGTCAATTGTTGGGCATTGCTCGGGCGTTTACCATTCTCGTTATATCATCACATGGCCACCAGCCGTATCCTGCGACCAACCACCAAGCACAGTCTCAGTGTTTCAATCCATCCTTGTCTAGTAAAGACCGACGACAATGTCACCCTTGACGCGGGCAGTCAGGTGAACCTCGGCCTCAAGGTCGAGCTTGATACCCACGAGGAGGGCAGCGGACTTCTGAGCACCGTTCTCGTCTGTGGCACCCTTGAGGAGTTGACCTAAGGCTGTGTGAGCAGGGGAAAGGTAAAGGCAGGTGAGTAAGTTACATACCAGCAGGCTGAGAGAGGCCAGTGGAGGTGGGCAGAGGAACAACGAATTGCTGCTGCTTCTGGCTGCGGCGGCCACCTCGAGCCTGACCATCGGAGTCAGAGTCGGAGGCGTAGGCGGGCTTGGACAGACTATCAACAGCAAGAAATGTTAGCTATTACTTGAGAACTGAACGATGAGTTGCTTACGCGGTAGAGTTGCGAACAGGAGCAGGAGAAGAGGGAAGGTTTGCAAAGGGAAGCTCAGAAGTGGGAGGGGGAGAAGTGGTGCTAAGTTAGTCAGTGTGAGGACTCCATTGGTGTTGAGATTGAGCCATTGAGGGGAATGAAGATGATACAAAGCAAAAGGGAATGCTTACGAAGTAGGGGCAGACATTGTGCTGGATTGTGTTGGACAAACTTGTCAAAAGTTGTTGAGTGTTTGGAGTGGTGATCGGAGCTGGGGGCTCAAGTAGATGATTGTTGAATGGTTTGGATGGTGAGTGCTGATGAAAAAAGTCGAGTTGAAGGCGACAGAGAGGCCATCTTATATACACGATTTGGCCTCAGTCAAGGATGACATTCTTCAATTTGCAAGTCATGATAGCTGTGTCTTGTCTGTCACAGGGTACCTCGCACGCGAAACATCCCGACGAACGACGAGAATGTCGACCGGGCCTGGCAAGCAGAACCCGGCAACTCAAAAGGACTTGCTGATGAGCTGTCATCCCGTACATGCTGTCTCACACTGATGCACGCTATAGCTGCCTACCTAGGTTCTAGGTTGACGAGTATATCTGCGTTGCGGTGGATATTGACATTTTCTGGGGGTGTCGTGGCCCACGACGCATACAAGGTGGTCCCGGGGGGAAAGTCTCCAGCCGCAGATCCTCAGATTCGAGAACGTCTGGGTTTCTAGGGGCCTTTGCAGCTGTTACGGGTATTGAGATCCGGTATGGAGAATGGGCTGAGATGGAAGTGTCACGGTTACAGACCGGGGTTACCTTTGTGCTGTAGAAACGAGAGAGGGGCCATGGAGTGACACGTATCGTATCCCGCGATATCGTCCGATGTTGGTAGGTGCTCTAGCGGTGCTAGTTACAGATACTGTCCTGGGGACACAAGGAGAGCGGGAGTTGTTGATTGTGGGCAGACTCTGCCGAGATGACGAAGACACTGCTGGCCATTGGGCCAATTGACTCTGTCCAAGACAATTTATTCACTCCAGAAACCGTGTACGATTTAAATTGACTGTTCTATGAACAAAATACATTTAATTACCGTCAAATAACCTCAGCTCATCGAAACACAACGTTTCCTCAAAAGGGTGGCAGAATCTCTAGCCCATCAACAGGGGTCCTTTAACACCCTCCAGCTAAGATTTAAGCCTCCAAGGACGGGGTTTAGAACGGGGGTGGCTTACGGGAAGTCAGGGATATCCGTGCTTGAGTTATGTTTCGCATCATGCCCCTCTGTCCAATCTCGATCATACATACAGGGATCAGGTCCCCTTCGATTAACTTTGTTTTTTCAACACTGTAGCACTCGGATCGAAGGATGGCATGATTCTGTCGGGAAACACCGGCAGTCCGACATGTCCGACACGCATCATCCTGGTTTATACAACCGTTGTGCGTTTTTGAAATTTCTTGGCTGGGGGTGTCTCTTCAACTGTTTAGAACAATCAGCTAAGGTACAATGTGATAATACCTGATATATGGCTTGCCACTTTGTATAATGTCGCTCAGACATTACTGTGAGCATCCTGGAGTAACACACCCCTTCTTCTGTGCGTGTCTCGCTTTCAACCCATCCCAATAATTTTTTTCAGAATATTCCCTGTTTTGTTTACTATTATTTTTTGCCGCTGTGAATATCGCCACTTGTCCGACGACGTTCAATGTCGTCCCCGTCCCCAAACGTTGACTCTGCATCCTCACCTCCCAACCTTGATTCCTCAGCACGATCCCAACAAGACTCGCCCCAAAGCACGCTCCAGCAACTTTTCGGCGGCTTGTGCAAGCAGAAGCTCTTAGAAGAAGTTGATAAGCTCAAGGAAGCTGTCCAGAAAGACGACCCGCAGAAGGTCATCATGTCTTTGCCCATGCTTCTAGCTCTGACTGTCTGCCCAGCTATGCTGGGTACGCAAGAAGCTATCAGACAGTCTCAGGCAAAAACGAAGCGTGAAGAACACCGAGGCCGGCGCTGCAACTTAGTTGTCTCTTGTGTCAAGCCGAGCATCAGATCTCGAGATATCAACAACAAACTTGTTGTCCTGAAAGACTCAAAGGTCAGTTCTTGTGCCTTTGAAGCTATGCAGTATGATAGTTAACATCAGAACAGCTTTATATTGCCAATGAGCACCCACTATACAACCATGATTCTAAGAATAATGTCAGCAAAGGCTACGCCTTTTCAGGATACTTCCTCCCCTTCCCAGACACAGAGTACGAGGGTCTCGTCACTACTATTAGTGATGACCCTCCTTTCTTGAACTGGATCTACATTGACAAGAAGACGTATGAAGTCAAGTACGGTGTTCGTGCCGATACAGAGGGTCATATCACTGGTCCATTTGACTGCACCAAGCAAGACCGCCGCATGACCTGTGAGGGCTGGGAGGGCTTCTGTGCTGTCGAAGAACTCCCCGGCATCTGGGCTCTGTACTACGACCGCGATGATGATGGCCTCAAGTCAAAGGTCGCCATGGGTACTCGCGTGCTAGAAGTAGAGCTCACCAGGCGAGAGAAGAAGGAGCCCAAGCCTGCAGGAGAACCTGAACAGCCCATGACTATGGATGAGAAGATGAAGCAGCACAAAGAGCAAACCGCTAAAGACGAGGCCGACCGTGCTGCATTTGTCGCAACTGGCCGTCACCCAGGTGCTGAGCCACCTTCCCCAGGTCATAAGCCTGAGCAGAAGAAGAACGGGCTCTTGGATCCAGACTCCAAGGAAGCTAAGCGCCAGCGTATCGCCGATGCCCTGAGCCGCCTGAATATTGATAGCCCCACCAAGAGCGAAGGAGGGTCAGATGGAAGCATCTTGACGAGTCTGAGCCAGGACTTCTCAATCTTCTCAATGGCCAAGAAGTTGACTGGGGACGAGGGTGGTACAGTGGCTAGTTCAGTCTGGGAGTCAGAGAAAGAGAAGGATAAGAACCACAAGAAAAATGATTCTACGAGTGAGGCGGGATCGTATAGGAAGCCTACTGTTGAAGATGCTACATCATGATAGAATATTTTGTTTGGTAGGGTGTTGCGTTCACATTCGTTTGGTCACTGGCGTTTTGGATCAATGATATTACGGGAAAAGGAACTATCATGTACACTGGATCTACTCGAGGACTTACGGTTATTCTTATGGTCAATATTAGGGCATGTACTGTAATGATAGTGTCAAATTGATTTGAGTTAACTGATAACCTTATTCACGTTTCGAGTGCCCAATCAACCAGCAAGTGACGCCTCCAACCGTGAAACTTACGCTCAATTCGTCTCATAGCCTAATTGATACCCTGGAAAAGCTAATTGATCACAATTTCTACAGTAAACCGTCACTGATGAGGTGTCTAGCATAAGGACCATGCATCCGGTTTCTATCCGGTCGCCCCCAGAACCGCCACAACCGCCCCGGGAACAAGGGCCAGATTTAATGCATAATTCTGCAAGGACAAGTATTCGTTGCCATGCGCCATTGAGAAAAAGTCCGGGGGCGCATGCATGCTGCAGGAGGAGTTGCAGCATCAGTTTCGCAAGCCTCACTCTGTCAGATCATGTGTATCACGGAGAGGTTTAGAAATGCTCTACCGAGCCGAAGGATTCGACGAAGATTTGAAGACATAGGGATTTCTCCAATCGTTTGGAATTTGGGAAAACATATGATGACATACTAAAATCTTTCGATTTTCTGTGACTATGTTTCAGATTAAACCTCACGCGACAAAACATGTCTCGCAGATCGGTAACGAAGTGTTTCTTCCACGACCCCTTAGAATCCCGCTACAACCTTAGAATCTGACAACGAAGTGTAGATCATGTAACCCTCCTACTTCCCGAGCAAGGTGTCGCCATTGGATGTTGAGATTTCTTCCCCAGACCGTGAAGCAGGGGTGAAGCAAGTACAGGGACTAGGATCTGGAGAGATCTATAGGAATGGATTCGGAAATGATGTGCTGCTGCGCGCATATCCGGTGCATGTTTGCGCTGGCAGGTTTGATTCCTGAATGAATTTCGGACGGGCGGCTATGCGTGACATCTGAAAGTGAGACATTTGTTCTTGAGCCCGATATATTCCGCCATGAAAGTGGATTTCAAGAGGATGGGTCTGACTGATATCTCAGCGCTCAACATCAAAAAGAAAAGAAAGGAGATATTTCCCTGCCTACGAGTGGATACTGTCTTGCTCGTGATCTATTTGAAGTTACAGCTTCATCCACTCTCTCAGCCCCAGCTGAACCTTGTCGGCGTGAATCTCTTACCCGCCTCGATTTGTCAACTTGCACTCGATCAGATGTCGCCCATCTCATCCCGCACCCGCAGAGCCGCTCTGACATGCATATTAATATCCCGCCTCGGAGCCGGAGACAGGTCTTTTTGGCATGCAGCAGCGGAGATGAGCTGGGCGTTTATCTAAGACACTGGCAATCTTTCCACTTCTCCCTCCACTCAGCGGCCCTTCATTGGAAAATATATGGAGTACTTCGTAGATGCGTGATTTTTGTATCAATAGCCATCACGAGCCCTTGTTGTTTAGATATTCAGTTACTGGATGTTTGGATCGTGATACTGGCTTGAGGGTTGGTTCGCCGAAATCAACAAAAGCAAACATGAAGTAGCATTTCGTTTTCAGCTTCGTCATATATTTGATCCACACTTCGTTGGCATTAAACTCCACATCCCAACCCTGTCTGCGTATTGGATCAATACCAACCTCTTTTATTAATGCCTCCTAGGAATTCTACCTCGGCTATTGATGCGCTATTCATCTTTGGTTGTTATAGGATGAGAAGTATAGATCTAAGAGCCCAACTGCTCACACTTTGAAGTTACTTTGTATGCTTCTTTTCTGGTCAGAAACCATCAGCCTCCTCTCTACAAACTCCTTGGACACATCACGGTTTGGATATATCAACCGTGGAGGGGCTCTGTGTCTATTATCGGACGTCAACTCCCTGACCTTTCATAACGCCAATGTCTCTCTTATGACCGTTAGCTCCTATTCTGTATAACTATAAATGATTATTCATGAATTTTGCATACATCGTTGAATTATAGCGAACAATATCACCAGCTCATCGTAGGTCTCAACATCCCTTTGAGACAAGAAGCTCAAAGAACTGGAATGATACAGCTAGCGTGGATATAAGTGACGGATTCGGGTATGATTGAGACGTGTAGGCGTTGATATGAACTTGATTTTCATAACCAGACTGAGTATCTCACGTGCCGTACTGAGGCTCATCAATGCAGACATATAAAAGCACCTAAAATATGCGAGGATATGACGAAGGAGTTAAGATTAGACTTTTGGCTATGAGTCTCAGCTCAGGGAACACCTCTGGGTTATAGTTCAGCTACTGAGGATGAACCTTAGTATAAACTGTAGTCCTGAAGTTGAAGTTGTATAAACAGAGTTGGATAATAGACACACATACTCTAAGCATATATCATCTGAAGTCATAACTGGGAATAGTTCGTGGTAAACTTTCATTATGAGCTCACAAAGAGGACAACTGAGGCGTTGTGTACCCAGAGGCTATTCAAGATGAGCCTAAAAATGGAAAAGGCAAATAATTGGCCTAGATATGAGCGTACCAGATGGTTTTTATGTTTTAGAATCTGTAAAGATCCGATCGAAGATTGCCTGATATCACTTGAGTTTGTGAATCGCAACATTGGACGACTTTCTTGATACGAATGAGGCAGTTGTATTGTAGAATGACACTGAGTCCCTTTACAAGATATGAAATCAGATGAAAACATGCGAGAGTCTGGCCACTTTCATAGATTCTCCAAGACCAGCAGAGGATTATAAGATAAACATCGGCTGAGAATGAGGTCTCGACACGAGGTGTCTCACTGAGATACCATATATTTCACCTACCAATCAGTCGAATGGAACGGTCGTGGTTAAATAATTGAAATGAAACAGTGATCACTATTGATTCGACAAATGGCACCAGAGCTTATGATGTAGGTTATGTCGAATGTTTTCGATAGGGACAAGTGCTACAAGAATAACTCAGAGCAGCAATATTAACGGAGATAAGGTAGTAAGTGTTAATCCTGAACCTTGGGTGTGCTCTTGAAACATGTGGTAATAAAATCATTATGTGATGAGGCATAGAATTGTTTCCTGTTTCTTCATCTTAATCCTTCTCAGCATCAATGATGATGGTGATGCATCTCCACTGTTGCCAAACACCATGGTGACGCGAGTGTGGGGTTGTCGCGTGCAAGATGACGGAGGCTTACGTGGCTGTGCGGCTACGTACAGTCTGGCTAGAGCTTGGATGGGCCTAAAGATCAGACCTTGATTGGCAGCACTAGCCGATCCTTCGATGGTTTCAGAGCTAACATAGCAAATCTGAGGCTATCTCAAGGCTAGTCAACGTCCGGGCGTTCAACGGTCACTAGCTTCAGGAAATAAGATGATCAAAGGTGGTAATAAGTATATAAAATAGACAGACAATGTCTTAGACATGTCAAAGAATACTGTTGAACTTATATGTGTAGATATCCAAAGAAATGCAAATGGAGCCCCAACGCCGCCAACCCGAGTCATATGTCGTTCATTGTTTTCCGATATGAACAATAACCTAAAGATCATAGTCGTTATTTAGTTCCTGAGCATGTTAGCGATGATCATGACATAATTGTTGTTCAACTTACAGTAAGCAAAGAGTAAGATCACCGTGGATTCTCGCCTTAAGCTGAATCTCAATCTCAAGGTTCAACTCAAGATGCAGGGAGAGGGCATCACTCTTTCCACCACCGCCCTGTTGCTGCTGCTGCTGCATCTGTTGCTGTTGCTGCTGCTGCATTTGTTGTTGCTGCAATTGCTGCTGCTGAGCGTTGTAGTTGTTCTGGGCCATCTGGCTGTTGTCCTGCTCGTCATCGTAGTCTTCGAATCGGGCGCGTCGCTTGCGTCGCTCGGACTTTTGCTTCTTGGTCTTGGTCTTTCGCACGGGCTTCTCCTGCTCGAGCTGCTCCTCCTCGAGATCGCTTCTCTGCTCAGCCTGGTGGGAACACTGTTAGTGATTGAGCTACCCGTAAGGATACCTGGGTACATACGGATGATGACGACATATTACGGCCCGGAAATAAGATCAAAGTGTAGATGGGAGGAGGGAAGAAAGTGTTGAGATGAAGATGTAGAGAGAAGGATACAGAAAAACTCCACCAGAAGATAGAATATTTTTAAATAAGTATCAAGAATCAAAGCAGATTTCCTGATTTCTCCTTTCTCCGCAAAAATGCAAACCGGATCCATCATCGAGATTGGAAAGAGGCTGACGCGCGAATCGTCATAATAGCGACGCTGCCATGATTTACCGCTAGAATCAAGTTCTTGACCCCAGAACTTACAGGGGATGCGACCTTAAGGGTGCTGTGACGTAACGATGTGGCTGGTACGTAGGCCAATACATGAAACAAGACCTCGCTTTCAGATGCCATAACGTCGCTTTCCTTGGCATATGAAATAAACGCATGTTGCTCCCTTGTAATAATTGGACCTGTTAACAATTACGTTGTTCTTTTGGGCGGTTTTGGTGCAGGTCACGTGGGGGGCTCGTATATCGGGAGCCTTTGGTGTCGGTATGTCAAGTCCAGATTTCATACTGCACCCGGGGTTTAAGCAAGAGTTTCTGAAAACGCAAGCACCTTTCACGTGTTACCAAGTATGGCAAAAAAGGTCTCAATATCACGACTATCTCAAGTTGTAGACCCCCGAGTCCAGATTCAGTTACGTAGTTGGCGACTTGAGATCTCTGTCCGCTCAGCTTAGAGAATATCTCAATAGAGTGTCTGATCAAAGCGATGCGACTTAGAAAAAAAATCGATGCATACCACTGTCTTGCCATGATTGTTATTGGAAGCCTTCAACTCTCACAAATGATATGAATATTGAATTGTCAAGTCTCTTATTCTTGGCGCAAAATGACTCTCGCGTACAGATGATTGATCCTCTAAATTACACACTAATAAATATATTGATCTGTATCAGCATGAGAAAAGCTACTGAAATGTCTTGCCTTGAAGATATCTCTTAGTCATGGGCATGTTTGGGAGCCAATGAAGTTCGCCAACATGTCATCAAATATAACTATCCCGAAACCTTGATCCACTTGGTGAAAATTCAGCTCTATCAATTCCAAAGAATATTGATAAGCATTTATATAAGTGTGCTGTTGGTTCTGAAACCAACACGCCAAGATGCGGGGGGTTGACCGTTGAATCCTGTATAGATACTGAATTGGGCAATAATCCGAGAGTCGCTTAGTTGATTGTGCCATTGTTGGTGCTACTCTGAGTTGCTTTGCAGCTCGTTCTCGTAATCGAGAGATAAACAATCCTATGGCATCTGACTCTCTGACTCACGTCGTGATGCATGGCATGGGCCTATTGGATGAATTGCAATTTTTGGGGCAAGTTTGACTCACCTTGTTGAGATCGTCGTCGTACGAGAGGTATCGCTGCATTGATCTAATGAAATTTTAGTAGTGTCTTAGAGAAATACGTAAAAAATAACGCCTTATAAGATGGAACGGAAGCCTTATCTAGTTCAATTGCTGTGGCAGACTCACAAAGATTCCTATCAGAAATTCAGAACCCCAACTCGCTTTACAAGACAGGCTCCGTCAGCTTACCATACTTGAACTCAACATGACTCGAACTACTCTGCTTGACCGAGACTGTGTTGTCACCGATCGAGGAGGTATTATCGAAAATACGCACGGCGTACACATCGCCGTAACAGATACAGAGGGTAATATCCTCTTCTCAGCTGGGAACCCCGTTCGGGTCACCCATTCTCGATCCGCAGCCAAGCCTGCCCAAGCCGTAGCTGTGATCGAGACTGGCGCTGTCGATAAATTTGGCTTCGATGAGACTGACCTTGCTCTCATGTGTGCCTCGCACTCAAGTGAAGATTTTCACATCGCGCGCGCCAAGAATATGCTGAGCAAGATTAAAGCAGAAGAAGATAATCTTCGATGTGGTGATCATCCTGCAGTTTCTGAAGAGGTGAACCGTGAGTGGATAAAGACTGGGTTTGTGCCAACGGGAATCTGCAACAATTGCTCCGGCAAGCATGTTGCCATGATGGCTGGTGCTGAAGCGCTGGGAGCTGACGTCAAAGACTATCATTTGCCGAACCATCCTATGCAGCTTGAGGTCAAAAGAGTCGTCGACGACCTGGCACATGATCCGAAACAAGTGGAATGGGGTGTTGATGGATGTAATCTTCCAGCACCAGCATATCCTCTATTCTACCTCGCGCAAAAATTTGCAACCTTCGCCGCTGCCGTGGACGCTGTTGAGATATCGTCACCAACAAGTCAAAGAACCCAAAATTATGCACGCGTATTCAACGCCATGACGAAACATCCAGAGCAAGTTGGCGGAACAGGGCGCTTCTGTACAGTGCTCATGCAGACCTATCAAGGACAACTGTTTGGCAAAGTTGGTGCTGATGCGTCTTATGGAATAGGCGTCCGAGAGACTGAAGATACCCGGCGCCTTGGGGCGAAAGGGGCACTCGGAATAGCGGCAAAGATCGAGGACGGTAATCTTGAGATCCTCTATGCGGCTATTCCAGAGATTCTCGAACAGTTAGGGATTGGTACACCGGAGCAAAGAAGGAGACTGGATGGTTTTCATCATCTTCAGCGGAGAAATACTATGAATCAAGTGACAGGGCATGTGAGGTTCAATTTCAAAGTACGACCATTCGGGGATAGAGTAGACTAGATCGCTGGGTATCTCGGCACGCAATGAAGATATTGTGTTGAGCGGAATTGATATTGTACGAGTCACAAGGTGAAAACTGATTGGTGGTAAAAGAATATCCCGGGACTAAATATTAAGTGCAAGGGTCATGTTAGTCGACAAGCGTACACTGGTCTCCTGCTTCAAGTATGATATTTGCCTAAAGGCGATAGTAGCATTAGTGCCAGGGAATAGGAGCATTTGTGGCAAGCGTGTTCTTGCCAGATATTTCTAGAATTTGAACGTTTTATATCTCTTTGCCTGCTGACGCACCTATCTGGTCTGTCTGTCGTCCAGAGAAGCTTAGTTTATTGCAAAAGCCCCGAACCTTTCAGCATTCCTAATCCGAATGGCTTTAAATCTTAAGGAGAAATCTAAACAAGGATCTGAATCTCCTTCCCCTCGGGGTTGCTCCGCACCCCACAACTCAATCACCCCAGATCGACATCCTTTCCTGGGGCTAGTAATGCGGGGAATAGTAAATTAATATCATACCCCGTCAGAGCTACGATACTACGTCGAATAGATAACAGTTTTCTAGATTATCCTTGGTGGAAAACAATGCGGCCGTGGCAATGAAAATGACCCCTAGTTTGAGTAGTAGTCCGAGTTGAGAACAATATGCGTGAATGACTTATAATAAGACGTCTGATGGTCAAGTCTTGTTATCAGGGAAGTCAAGAGAGTTTTAGCGTCGTGACAGCCCGTTAGCGAAAGCGGCGAATCTCAATATGCTGTCGATGTCTTTCTTCCTCTTGACTGCGTTGGCTTGGACGACAAGTGCAGCTTCTCCTAAAGCCACAACATTAAACGGAACATACGTTGGCAAGAACCTACCCGGCTGGGACCAAGATGCCTTTCTAGGCATTCCATACGCTCAGCCCCCTGTTGGGAACCTCCGATTCAAGTGGCCTCAAAGCTTGGACAGTTCTTTCACAGAGGAACGCACAGCCACCGAATATGGAGACAGTTGCATGCAATACACTCAGAACTGGACTATGTCTGAGGACTGCCTTTCTTTGAATGTTATTCGACCAGCTGGAAAACCAAAGAAACTCCTACCAGTTCTGTACGTTCCCCAAACAACAAACACTTCCTTAAGACTAATAGTAAGAACACAGAGTTTGGATTTACGGCGGCGGTCTTTACGCTGGCAGCTCTGCCGACCCACAGTATAACCTCAGTGGGATTGTCAAAGTCAGTCAAGACATGAAAGAGCCTATTCTAGCAGTGAGCTTTAACTACAGACTGGGTACGTCCGGGTTCCGCTCGAAGCACCGCTACTAACTTTCTGGCCTTCAGGGATGTGGGGTTTTCTCCAGAATTTCAGCCTTCTGAAAGAAGGTAACGCCAATGCTGGCCTCCTAGATCAACGACTTGCACTGCGTTGGATCCAAGAGAACATTGAGGCTTTTGGAGGTGACCCAGAACGAGTTGTTGTATGGGGTGAGAGCGCTGGAGCTCAGAGCATTGCGTACCAGATGTTTAGTTACGATGGCCGAGATGACGGGCTATATCGGGGAGCTATACTTGAATCTGGAGGTATTACAGGCGCACAGGTATGAAAATCAACGGCACTATTGTCGCGTTTGCTGACTGACTTTATCCAGATTCATGATCTCAGTTACTACAATGTTGCTTTTGAAAATCTGACAAGGACTGTCGGGTGCTGGGACAAAAAGGATCAGCTTACGTGTCTCCGAGACTTGGATGAGAAGTCGCTATATGCTGCGCGACCTTCATTAACGTTCAACCCTTTGATTGACGGCACTTTCTTGACTGGTTACCCCAGTCAGCTCATCCGAGAGAAGAACTATCACACAGTGCCTCTTATAATCGGTGCAAACACGGATGAAGGATTCTGCATCGGAAAAGTCAACACGGATCAAGATCTCTTCTACGAAGCTTTTCGGTGGCGGAACTACGCTCTGAGCGCCCCGACGATCCGAAAGCTCATGGAACTTTATCCTGACGACCCATGCCATGAACCTCCCTACGCCATCACGAACTGCTCAAGGCAAGATGGAAACTATCAAGGACGGCGTGCCTGTGCTATTGGCGCTGATATAACCATGATCTCAGGACGAAGGAAACTCGCAGAACTATACGCCCAGTCTGAGGATGTGTACTCTTACCGGTTCGATCAAAAACCATACCTGAGAGCTGAGTGGGATGGTGTGAAGCATTTTGATAATGTTGCATTTAGCTTCCAGAATATATCTGGGTTGCTAGGTCCAAGTCCGCAGTACGATAGTCACGCTGTGTTGGCCAACACCATTGGACAGGCTTATGTGAGGTTCGTCAACAGTCTGGATCCGAATTACAACAAGGGGAAGCTTCCAAAATGGCCAAAGTACAGCAAATCAAAGCCCAAAAACATGGTGCTCAATGCTACGAAGAACTGGGTTGAGGATGATACCTGGCGGAAGCAGGGCATCGATTATATCAACTCCTATGAGGTGGCACGAGAACTATATGGTTAGAGATCGAGAGACTTGCCAAAAGATACCAGAACAGGAAATATCAAGTTGGAGGTATGACCTAATGAATGGCTTCGCTTAGCCCAACCAGGGGTTGGCACGCAACTCAAGATTTCAGTCTCAAGTGGTATTTCCATGGAACACATAGCCAATTTCATGATAGTTTAGGATAGTTTTAGCAAAGCTAGTCATTTATTTATTTCCGCCCCCTGGACGGAGGATCCTAGGTCCTCGAACGCCCTAAGGTCCTAGTTTCATCTGATGTCCAACGGTACTCGTATAGATCGGCGACGCCGAGGTTCGCTTCTAACAATGCGAGTATTACCCTTGCATATTCTTCCATCTGAACCTGCCTTGTAAGGCAATGCTAGCCCGGAAGACTCCAGCTACCGACACTATGAGAGTCAACCTTGTGTCACAACTCGAAGCAGTTAGGATTTTCGGAGGAGTTTCTGAGATTGGTAGTGTCTATAGACCGTGCAAACCTTGTATAGTGCACGGAATAAATATAGTCAAGTGTATCCTGGACTTTCTCAAACTCGCTTGCTGGGTATTTGTAGCACGATTAAACTCTATTTTGAACTCTCCAAGATTCTCTGGTCCAAGACTGTACGGGCCACTTCACTTGGCACTCTTAAACTCTCTAATAATTAGTATGGACCTCCGTAAACACAGTAGACATACCATAACAGCGCTAAGGGATTTAAACATCCCCATGAATGCCACGCTTCTTGCTGTGGGGAAATAAGCTTCACGGAATGCCGAGACCCATACCGAACAACAAGGGGTCAAACCCTTGTTTGAAATACGAGTGGGTATTCCAGCAGGAAACAAGGGGATGATATAATACCTGAATCATACCCTTTCAAACCTGCTCTCCTCAACGGCGACTACCTTTACTATGACTGTAAATTCTGGCCAATATGACTGGCAAAGTCGATAAACTCATCTCATCCGTGACACTGGCTGGAAGCCTGTTATCTTGCGTTGCCACGACATGTGTACTTATCTCGTTCATCATATATCGTCGGCATCTCCGAAACTTTCGACATGTCCTCGTGTTGAATCTTATGGTTGCAGGTGCGCATATCTTCCGCTACTGTCGACTAGAAATCTAATACTATTTCTTAGAGTTTATCAACACTCTCAACAATTCAATATCAGGCAGCATATTCCTCAAGACTGGACAGCTCCAAGCTGGGATACCATGCGTCATCAATGGGTTTATTGGCCAATTGTCAGTTTCAGCAGCTGACTTTTCAGTCTTGGCTATTTCGGTTACAACCCTGCTCACCGTCAAGAGGATGCTGTACATACCGACAACTTCAAGAACGAAGAAAGCATTAATTTGTGCCGCAGTATGGACAATGCCTCTCATCACAAGTATCATACCAACTGCTGTGGGTGAGATGAACCCAGTGGGCGGGAACTGGTGCTGGATATCAGCAACCCGGCCAGATTTACGCTACGGTATGACGCATGGTTGGCGCTTCTTCGTTATTTTCACTACTATTGCTATCTACATCCACATCTGGATTTACCTAAGAAGACATCTGGGCTCAAAACCAAAACAACCTCGACAGCCTCTAACTTTCTCTACGCACAACACCAATACACTCTTTTCCAAAAGCTCTAAAGACGCCGGGTTCCAGGTTATGCAAGAGGACGAAGTTGAGCTGGACACTTTCAAGACAAGATACGGGAATATTGATACTCCCATTTCGCCCATATTTGAGCGATGGAACAAGATAGACGAAGTTGAGGATATGGAAAGAAAAGGTGAGAGCGAGGCTAGCAATAGCAGAGCAAGGGGAGAGTCTGTCCGTCATCGGCCAACATCGTCAAGAAGAGGAGCGGAGATGGCCTATACAGGACTTGCTAACACTGAACCAACCGAAGCATTACCGATTCCGCAGCACCAGATCAACGTATTACAAACCAATGCCAGCGAGTTTCCTCAGCGCCGGGCCACCCATGATGTTGAAGTCGAAATCAAGCGGATGATGTTACTGAATGGGTATCCGGTTATGTATGTTCTACTCTGGATTCCGGGGCTTACAAATCGACTACTGGAAGCGATTCAGACGCCGGTGTCAGATACGACGATTGCTGCTCTCAATACCTCAACGCAGTTTATCGGCTTTGCGAATGCAGTTACTTATGGATTTAATCATCATCTGAGGGATAGGCTGGATGCGCTTTATTGGACGCCTATGATTATGAGAATGAAGAAGCGATTTAGACAATAATATCATGTATGTATTTTTATGAGCACGAAGATTATTAAGTAAAAGACCATTTGTCGAGGTTGTATATTAAGAAGACATTCTTTGAAAAGTTGTTAAAAAGCAACACCACTCAAGGAAATACCAGCCGCAAGAATAAACTTGGGATAGCTGTCAAATGTAATTGAAAGACATGCTATACCGCTCAAACTTGACTATAAAGTAACTTAAAGAGATTCTCTGATGGAGAGTCCTTCAGGTCATAGCCTAAGAGCTATAATTTCAAAACAAGTGAAAAAGGCATATCAACTGAATGCTAAACGAGGAAGTTATCGACGTCGAGCAGGTCCAAGTAACCTCCATTGAAGAAGAAGTCGAGATCAAGAGATTCGACTTGACCTCCAGCCCCAGAATTGTGACATGTCTTGTTGGCGCCGGTGCTCTGAGTAGCATGACTATGAAACTGCGACTCTTGCCGTACAACCTCGACCGAATTAACGCCATCTACCCTCAAGAAATTGTCCCAAGCCCGTTCAACACTGAGACGAACTGCCACGGAATACGCATTCGATTCATTGCAACGACGCTTCATTTCTTGCAAGGCAGAATAGAGCTCACTTTTGGCTATCGCAGGGGGCAGCTCATCGTATTGGCCGAGAATAAGCAGGGAGTAAGCAACGCAGAGGGAGTGGAATTCGGGTAAGTCTCCAGAGCTTGAACTTGGGATAGCGATGAATGCCTGTATGACTCGGAAGCTGAGTTCGTATACGTGGCCTTGGAGGGACTTTGTGGAAGGGTCTTGGAGATTCACCGTAGAACTGCGGGACGTCTGTGGCGAGAGCGATGAGGCGAGATTCAGTACATCTGCTTCGACCCTATCCAGAGTTCGTTTTGCTAGGATGACGTTGGCAATACAGTAACTAAACTTCAGCATAAGACCTGTAGGTAGGTCTTGCAACCATTAGCAACCAGAGTATTAGTAGATTATCTTGAATTCCTTACCAAGGAGATATCCATATTGCTGCTTCCAAATTGCAAATTTGGAGCTGAAACCATCGTTTGTGAAGGTAGGCTTAACGCAGTCTTCTTTCTGGAGTGTACAGTAAAGTGAGATCTCAGCAAGCAGCATCGCGTCGCGCATTGTGGTCTGCTCGAAATTGAGTAGATTTCTGCACTGGCTGAAGTACGAGCTAGGTAATATGGATGGTCTACCTGTAGTAGCTGACCAACTTTTGAAATTATCATCAGCTTTCTGGCTTTTCATAAACAAAGCTATGAGGCTCACTCACTGCAGATGGTTCAAGCATATGTTTGCCCAGACTCTCATGGATCGAAGGTCCAGCTTTGTGGAAGTCCCAGCATTGGTTCGCTGATGAATATCTGAGAATTGGATACACAGCATCGCCTGCTGTGAGCAAATACCACTCAAAAGCCAGCTATCGACATATTCAGCCTCGCACTAGATCTATCAGCAAACATACATTCAGACAGCACTGGAGGTCTTACCGATGGTGATCCGGCGAAAAGAGAGCAAATGAGAACACCAGTAATTTCTTCAAGATGTAAAGGGCTACCCAGCACTACCTGACCAAGCATGTTTCGCATATGCTCGTAGACTTGCCTGTGCTTCAGGGCATCTGTCTGGCTCGTGTGGGTAAACCTCATCTCATGCGAGCACAGCACAGCATGGAGAAACGGTGATGTTTGAATCAAAGAGCCTCTAGTTACCAGATCGCTCTCATCATTTATAAAAAGAACGTGGCGACGTCGTCGAATAAAGCTTTGAGCTGGTATCAGTAGGAATTTGAGTCTTAATGGGAGACAGAAACCTCTTACGATTTGACAAGGTTTTCAGCAGTTGCGGCATTAAGCATACCCATGTGTACAACATCCTCTTTCGTGTGGAAAGCTCTTCTCAAATCGCCAGTCACCTGGCAGGCGACACGCCGAATGACTTCAGCTGGAGCAGCATGAACATGTTGATCCGCGGGCTCGATCTCGTCCATCAACACACGACTGTTTGTCGATGCTTGAGGAGAAGCACTTTGCTCGACGACACTTTGCTGCGCTGACTCGCGTCCTGATTGGAGCCTTATTAGCTGGGCTCTTATATCTTGCATAGAGCTTTCCAAGTGCAGCACTTTCTGATGTAAACTATCCAAGGTTAGGACTAGGAGGAATGTTGGCTAGACTGAGAGTCATTAGTACCTTTTCACGAGATCTTGCTGATGGGCCGTTTCTTGAGTCCCATATGACTGATCCAGGCTATCGCTTCGAAGGCAGGGTATTCTCAAGTTTCGACATCTTGAGCAAGTGTCGGAGCCAAAGTCCAGCTCGCATCTGCATTTTAGTCGGCGGCAAGCGTCACAAGAGAGGATCCGTCGACGTCGCTTCTTGGAGGGTTCATTTTCAACTGGAGTAACTGATACTGATTCCTGTACTCCAATTGAGCCAGTTGCCGAATCCTCACGTGCTCTTTTGTCAGTCATTGTCGGGTATCAAGAGGTAATAAATATGGAGAGAAAACCCCGCAAGCCGTCGGAAATCGGCGGAGGATAGGCACTGGTCAAGCGCACACCGATTTAGGATTCAATTACAAATCTAAATTTTAATCCGGTATGGTGTAGTGGCTAACATTTCGCGCTCTCATAACCTGAGAGATCAGTTCCGCGGAGCCCAGGGTTCGATTCCCTGTACCGGAGACTCATACCCATTTCTTTTTGTATATACATTACATCTCACCTTCAGTGTTTGGTGGCTAAGTTTTAGCATTGGCTGTTTATATGTTTATTATTGGACTTAATTCCCAATGCTCAGTCTTGTATTATTGAGTAATGTAAAATTATAAAGAATATATTTTTAATTTTCAAACAACTTTGTATCGTTGGTCTTCGAGAAGTTGTAACCATTCGAGAGTCAATATACAAGAAAAAGACTGGTACTTAACCACGAGCCTTAATTACAGCCAGAACTTAAAAAGACTAGTGTAGTTTATGAGCGAAAAGAGATAAAAAGACCGTCCTCCCAAGTGTCGTCAACAAAAGGTATTAAGTTAGCCTGATGCCCAAACTCCTCCAGCACGAATCGATCATCCCCAAGTACGAGCCCATCGATTTCTGAGGAAAAGTTGCTTCTTGCCCCTGAAGGCCCAGCAAATTTGCCAACTTCCGGAGACACTACAACTTCGTGTTTAGGTCTTCCGTCTTGCACACTGACATTCCTCTCACTCTCGCATACTTCTTGCCATGTCGATGGGTAACCGACCGGAAGAGGACCTGGTATCTCGGCCTCATCGCCCTCGGAAAACTCGAGCCTCAAGTTGAAAGGCCAAGCGCTCGATCTGATCGAAACAGACACTCCTACCTCCGTTTCGCATCGTCCATAATTCACAATGCTTGGTCCCGCCTGCATCGATTCCCAGCCTCCTTTAGGATAAACGATCCGGCGGACACGGTATGCAAACACAAAATCTGACGACTCGCCATATGTTTCTTCATCGTATATATCCCTGGATATGCTGAACTGCGGTCCGCCATCGAATGGCGCGCCCAAGCTTTCACCACCAAATCCAACTCTTGCACCACCCCCAACACGCCTTGAGGAGGAGATGGAGCCGACTGCACCACGCGCTATCTTGACGCCTGTCACCATGAACAGACGCTGCCTGCGCTTGACGGCCTCAACAGCAACGGCTTTGACACTCTCTTTGACATAATCGTCTGTTGGCTCTATGGAGTACGTATCTAGTCTCTCGCATGTGTGAGACACATCGTTGGCGTTGCTCCAGTCAAAATTAGATTCTGCTGTAACGCCTACAGCCTGGAGGAAATTGGCCCAAATCCCCAATGAGCCACTGTTTTCTCTGCCTCTGCCAATATGCCAAGGGGCTTTAAAAGTATGGTTCGTTTCCATGTCTTCAGGAATAGGGAGAGGCGGTCCACAGAACGAGCCGGGATCCATTGGGTGTTTCCAAATATGACCAAGGCGAATTGCCTTATCAGGCTCATAGTCGAGATTTGGAGCGCGTATATAGATCAAGGCTGACTTTTTGTTCATGTTGTGTGTTTGTTGCTGGCCCGGATAAGTAGAGTAGAGAGGAGAAAGAAAATGCTATACAGCGATGATCTATGAAAGGCGATAACACCTATATCCATGCGATTGAAACGTTCTTGTTGATTTGAAGAATGACGTAGCTCAAGAAGGAAGCTCCTTTTTCTGACGGATCTTTGATCGGAGGCCTATAGACTTGTGGCTTGAGGCGGCCAACCAATGGATGGATGCATGGCTAGAACATTATGGGCTGAGGCTATGCCATACCAGTAATTCTGAAGGTCTCTAGCTTCGTTTCCCCTGTACCTTTAGGCTCATAGGTAAATCGCAAGGCGTCCAGCAAGGCTGTAACGACAGGTACTGGGAGAACTGTGACATACATAGTGTTGATAACCTACAACTTCAAGACTCAACTGAGGAATGTCCTGGTAAGATGCATTTATAGTTAAATTTTCTTTTCTTTGAAGTTTTGTCTAACTGTTTATTTTCTTGTTTGCTCGACCAGCCTGTTGTTCGTTTATTGATGAAGCATCCAGATTCATCGAGCCCTGTGGCTTATAAGCTTTATGCCTTATTTCTCTTACCTGATCGTAATATAATTGTACTAAATAGATTTGCCATGTTAACCCATGGTGATTGTTAGAATGGGCCATTTGAGTACTTGACTTGGACACTCGATAGTCAGCCAGTGGCCCACGTGGCTTCGAACTAGACATATTGATGCAGTATCCTGTGCTTTTGATTTCATTGATCATAGATATTAAATCAAGTATTTGTTCGAATACTTTTTATGGCTCGCTTTGGAAACTTTAGCCGACAGCTCGTCGAAAAAGGCTAAAACAACGACCACCTTATTTTTCCCCATAGTAGCGGTTTATCCCGGCCCAGAGAATCAGACATAGTCTGGGGCAACTCGATTCTAGACTGAGCCATATGCTCCTAACGGGACTAGACTAATGGGTTTTTACGTAGTAGATTGATCCAATGTCTATGGAAGTTACCAAAATAAGCTATCCGTCGGATAATTGTTCCGGGATCTGGAGCCAGCAACCGGGCACTAACGTATGAAAGCCGAGTTCGGATGTTTTGTAAGTCAGACTCCCACGTATGAAGTATATCGGGATTCCGAATTTCCGATAACAGCCGCATCAATGGTCGTTTCTGTGTGTCATTAAACTGATATTGGTCTCATCCTCGGTTCATGGGTTCAGAGGACAAGGTCAAAGTGCGGATCTTTTAGGATGTCGAGATTTGACCTGAAGGAATAAGGTGCAGGCATACAGAGCTTGGCTTGCAGTTAAATGAAAACCAAAGGAGTTCTAGATACTATATATGCTTAAGCTTAGGCGTCCTTTGAAGCTGCTAGGTTCTTAATCAGTCTATTCAAAATACGTCCCACTGTCATAGCTTTACGAAGAGCCTCAAATAATTTGCCGTGCACCACGAACATTCTACAGCCCACCTAGTATCCGTCGAATCTGCGATACCCCCATGCTCTAGGCTCGATTAACTCAATGATTACTCCACAGGATCCATTGGCCTTGAATAGCCTGGCCTTGTTATCCCGAGGGCCAACCTTGCTTATATATACCCACCCAGTTCATCTCGTGCAGACTGTTAACCCTTCGACATTTTCTTTAGCAACATCAACATCTTGCCAAGTTAGCTTCTTTCCTGGAGTCAAGTTATTAGTTTTGACTTTCGACTCAACTTGGTCGTCCCAAGCTATTCTACTTCTGTTTACAGTAACTCGAATTTATGCAGTGAGATAGAGTAGGATTATACCGTTAACGTCAAAACCACAATCCTCTCTCTCTCTCTCTCTCTCCTCTCCATGACTGCACACTCAGTATCTTTCACGAAACACGATGAGAGGATCCTTATCTCAGAGCACCACAGGCCATTAGGAGACAGGATAGGCAATCCGGTATGGCATTTTGGCGCTGGATCATACAGACAGCTAACAAGGATCAGGCGCCTCTTGCGATGGGCGGCTTTGCTACAACCTTATTGTCAGTTTCGTTGGCGATGATGGAGTTCCGAGGTATCTCCTTACAGACTCAATTTATCGGAGACCTGTGTTTTGTTGCCTGCATTGGGTTACTTATCTCTGCCCAATGGTCAATGCTCAAGGGCGATACCTTCTCATATACTGTTCTAACAACCTTTGGTAATCTAGAAGACATGTTTCCCAGGCGATAGTGAAGCTATGCTAACATAGTCAAGCTCTCTTTTATGGAGGCTATGGTGCAACACTACTCCCCTCATGGGGCATCATCGACGCTTACGGAGGAGTCGACACACCTCAATACAAAAATGCACTTGGATTCTTTGTGTTGATATGGGCAGTGTTCAATGTCTTCTTTCTCATCGCTTCGATCCAGCTGTAAGTCTGCCTACCCTGGCCTCATACTCTCCTACTAATTGCCTACCAGCAATATTGTGTATATCTGCATTTTTATTTGCATTGAGTTATGTCTTGTATTTGACGCCTCGTCTTACTTTGCTTCCGCGGATGGGAACGCTGCGCAAAGCAAAGCGTTGATGCACGCCGCCGGAGTGTTTGGCTTCATAGCAGGTCTACTCGGCTTTTACACTGTAGCTTATCACCTTTGTCAAGAGGTACTGCCATTTCCTGTTCCAATGGGCGATACTTCTGCTTGGTTTCAAGCTCGTCGCGAGAGAAAGACGCTCAATCCTTCCAGTGTCTAAACTAATGATCGCCTCGACAGGTAAGGGGGGATAGTGGATAAGTATTAGCTGTTGGGATTGTGTACATTAGACATGGAGAGCTTGATAGAGAAAGGCATCTAGTCAAGTTAAATAATTGTATAAAACTTTATAGGAAAGAAATCCATGACACCGTCCCAGCCTACTAAGCTATCTGCGCTCGATACTTGTGTAGGGTCTCATGCTTGACGAGGCAAAACGCATTTCCGTGCTCGAGATCGCCGGTCTCTACCTCCAGTAATGTTTCTCTCGGATCCTAGACTGTTTTTAAACATCTGAAGGGTAGATTTTCGCCTTAGATACTCAATAAAACACAATCGCATCATCTCCGCACTTCAGCATTGTGCTTTCCCGTTTGGTTCAGAATGGTCGGCAAATCGCGTCCTATGGCCTCATTTGCAAATCCACATCGTACGAGTTACTTTAGAACCTATCTATTTGTTTCGACAAGATAAAGAGATAGCGGAGGATGTACTGTGCAGCAGTTTAGTTTGCTGTTATCAGGAGACTGCAAAGAGTGAACTAAGAGCAAGACAGATGGGGAAGCAGTAGATATGGGTTCATGTTGTTACGTAAATAGAGATTGACATTGAATTTTCTCGCATGAATACATATTATCTCTATTTGACAACCCGCTCCAGTCTGGGTGCTCTTGTCTGGTACTCTGCTCTGTCAAATTTACAAGACGACATGATGAACGAGATCGTCCACTGTTACTTTGGATTGCAGCAATCTCGATTAGCCGATGAAGGTGTTTATTTGCCGAGTTTAGCAGCAACAGCGTCGTACTCCTTCTTGGTAAGGGGTGTCACGGAGCCATGCTTCAACCCTTTGGGAAAGTTGGGAAAGTCTGACTTCTCCCAGTCCGGAGAAAGAATATTGGAAGTTTGGAAAGGGATATACTGAGTGTAATCATCGAGCAGAAGATGGTATAGTCCAGGTGTGCGAAGATCAGCAAATGCACCTGGGCCTTCAAGGGGGGATTCGGGTCGGACGTAGCCTGGAACACGGGTCCAAGTTCCGAAAAGACCGGTCGTTGTGGTCTCCTGATACACTTTGTTAATGGTCTCGTTCTTGAGGAAACGTGCGAAATGCCCCGGTTTGCCTAGGTACAGAAACTCCTGATCGATGAGGCCAGTATCCTCAGGGGCATGGTAATCCTTCGGTGCGCTGAAAGTCTTGAAGTCTTTGGTAGTAGCATAGCGAATGCGATCGAGAGTTGCGGTGCCTTTATGTTCCGTGTCAGAAGCTGCATAGTGTCTGGCTGCCCAGAAGACATAGTACTGGTTTGTAGGATCATCCCAGACCACAGAAGGTGCCCAGGCCATGCCAGCTGTGTCTGACTCTACACTATTCAGAATTAGCGAGATGTCACATGCGAACCAAGCATCTTGTATCTTACATTCTGAGTGAAGGCTTGGACCAATTGACGAGGTCTTTCGAAGACCAAACAACAAGACCCCGACTTCCATTACGTGTGACAAGATCCCATGAGAAACCTGGGGCGTTAATGTCCAGATCTTAACATAGCCTGTTAGTAATGTGCCTACTGAGAATGTTTCAGTAACCTACCAGTGGCGATGGTAAAGTACTCGGATCTGGCAGTATTGGTCGTGAGAAAGATGTCCCTAACACCTTTGGTACCAACATTTGAGGTCAAGACAGGCTTTCCTCCGTTGAGGAAGTTAAAGCTCGAAGCCGAGTTGCCGTCTGACAGGTGCCATTGAACTTGAGGGGTCGGATCACTAAAGGTAGAGATGAGGTAGCCGACATATTTGCTGTTCGCGGATCTTGGACGGTCGGCAGGAATGGCTTCAACAAAAGAAGATGCTGAGAGTGCCGTTGCGAGGAGCGTAATGACACGCATATTGGATGTGTCTTGAGACGATGAGTAGGGTTCAAATTCAATATGTTCGACCTATTATAAGTCAGGACAGGTCTTATATCTTGCCGCCCATATCATCAGTATACAAAGGTAATTAATTGTCTTTATATAATTTGTTCATGCGTAGCAGGGACGAGCCTTCGCATCTCAGAGGTCCCCTGCACAAGTCCCGATGGCTGTGATCAGTCCAATAGCCAACCTTATGCAGGCCATCCGCGTATTCGATCGATCCGTACAAATCATATTCACCTCTCAATTATGCCTCGGGTAGAGGACGGGAAGCCATTGTTTCCAGTGTCGATCTTTTGGTCCCGGCTCATAACCCATGTAGCTTAGTTGTTGAAGCGCTCCAGTGAACAGGCGGCGCATAAATGAATGAGGGGGTGAAGATGCGATTTTCAATAAGCTTAAAACCCCATGGAGAAACATCGCAAGCTGGGGAAGTTCTATGATTAAGACGAGTTAGGCAGCTCCTATTGATGTACTGGCGCTCGAGTCGGGCGACAGCATGAGGCTTTGATGATCGATACTAAATGGTGAGATTACAATTGCTCAACCTCCACTACTAGAGGCTTAAAACAAACAACAGCGAACTGAACAGACAACTCGATCTCAAGTCAAATATATTATTCAGGTGCTGCGGTTTTAAACATACAACATCGCTACTTTCCGTAGACTTAGAGCATATCGCAGTTCTCCGAAGGGCATCAGAAGCCATGAGCTTGAAGGGACGAATAGCGGGCTGCCAATAACAAAAGCAACTGAAGGATGAAAGCATAGCCTCTCTAATAAGACTACTAAAATACAATTGGAGCCCCAGAGACACCTTGTAATTGGCCAAGCAACTCACACAATCAGCCTGCTATTGGAAGCGTGAGGCGAGTGGCACTCGGGTTCTTGATCCTGATGCTCATATTTAGGTAGGTTTTGGATGATCCAGATGATCTCAGACGCTCGCCGAGTACCTGACTCAATTCTTCCGCCTAATTCAACGGTAAGAAGTCAGTCATTTAAGGAGCGGAGCAGGTAGCTGTAGGTAGTAGGTAGTAGGGATCTACTGATACAATTCGCGATGGAGTCACGCTTGAGACTCGGTTATCGGCGTAGGCAAAACGGCTTCTTTATCTTAGCAAGGCAGCAAGAACATGTCGCTGTTTACCGCATCATTTAAAACCAAGTGCATATAGTTTATCAATTTTTTCTTTTGTTATATTGTCTTCACTTCTATTATCATCATCGACGGTTATCGGCCGGGTCGGTCGATTGCAAATACAGTGTATCACAGTGCCCATCGCACCCATTCCCATTTTGGGCAAAGCTTGGATTGCGTGCTTAACGGCGATGAGGGATGAAGAAGACGACGAGCAGCAGTCAGTCGATTCTCCTCTTTCACCTCATTATTCACTCTTCGCACGTCTTCGTGTAGAATGCGGGTCTTATTTGATCAAATTGGTCCATTCTATGCTAATATGAAGTGCATACTTGCTATACTGAGATCATCCTCTGTCCAACCTCCACTCCCATTATCTACCATCAAAAACAATCTGAGCAATTCGAATTAAAGGAGAGCTCTCAATACTTGCGGCGCTAATTACAACAAGGTCATATCTCATCAGTTCGTGGTTACCACGGCCGTCCCTTCGTCAACTACTCCTTCAGCAGCCGCCCATAAGCCGAGTAGTAGTGACAACCTGGTACATGGCTTTTCCGCCCTGTCTTCTCGTCAAAGATATGGCATCCTTTTTTAGCTACGTTGGGGGGAGTGTACACTGCAAAGTTGCAGGTTAGTTTCTGGGACAAGTGTCGTGGATTAAGGGGATTGCCTACAGTGGAGGGATACAGCAAAGTCGCTACCCCTGTTGGATACACGATGCAGACCTAGTTCGTCTGCCATATATGCGACGGAGTTTTCTGTATATGTCCTTTCCCCAATGATGTTCATTGGTTTGTCTTGTTCATCTTCGTTCGGAAATGCGTATCGAGTCTCGGTGAGGTTGCCCTTCAGAATCTTCATCAGGCAGTGGGCGTTGCCGTGGTCGTGGATAGGGGACCCCTTTCCAGGAGACCATACGAGAACAAGCTAGCAAGGAGTTAGTCACGGTTGGAAAGGGTCAAAGTTGACTCTAGCAAGCTTACCAAATTACTCTTGCCATTACCCTCGTCAACGAGATTACGGGTATATCCCCTACTGCGATCACCGAAGGCATAGGGCTTCCACATGTTGTCGGAGCCATCATATCCTTCCATCAGTTGTTGAAGGAAGTCAACATCAACATCATCAGAAGTCAGGCCCGATGATGGACCAAGGGCATCCTTTAGTCGCACCACGAGTTCGTCAAAACGATTTTGCTGGCAGGGACCCACGTTGGGGATTGTGCTGTGGCTGACGCCGAGTGCAGAGGGCTTGGTGAAGATACCGATGGCCATGATTGCTATGCTGTCAATGATGCTTGGTTGTTTATGATGATATTGATATTCTGCCTCTTGAATATATGGTATCTGAGAAGAGGACAACAAAGGCTCTGGAATAAGGGGCGGGGTCGACACTGCATGGCCATCCCCTTCCTTATTCCTATCGGTCAGATCCGGTACTGACAAGCCGGCAGATAGTGTCACCGACATCTTGCTGTGGGTCGTAGATTGCAACCGACATCATATCTTGTGGCGGCACAGATAGGTTCAGTCGGCGAACGACACAGCAGCGCTGGTCCTGTGAACCGATTCAAAGATTCTGGTTGGATGCAACAACGCTAACAAACCCCCGAGAATCCAACAACGTACCTGAGGTACCTTGCTGGATACGAGCTAGGTACTAAGATACCGCTTTGTCTGTATAACAAAGAGGTCACTTATTACGAGTCTGGAGACGTGACGAGGGAAATCGCAATTAGACACGAGCGAAGTGCTCATGGGGACTTCTCGACAAGCCGGTTTATGTGCAAACTAATACTTCTTTTTTTCTCGGGGACTCAAATTCGCAATATTGCGACACCCGCTATCGCCGACTTGAGCCACATGTGGACCCATTTGACTTTAGTCATTTGGCAGCTTGGAATTCATCTGGGCGGGATTAGCGGTTCTCGGTGACTAGGTATGAACAAATCCATCATCGCCACGGCTGTACCGGCTTCGTCAAGGTCTAGAAAGCAATAAAAACGATTTTCCTTCTCAGCTTATTCCCATGTTGAAACTTATTTCCTTCTGATTAAGACATTGAATTGCAATCTACATCATATTGGGTTCTCAGATTTGTGCCATATTAGCGGCTCTAGCGATCTACCCTCCATTCTGATTGGCCTGTGAGCCGGAAACTTTAGCTTTGCATTGTCACATCCAGCGATCAGCAGCTCACGTAACATCAGACACCCTTGAATCCTCAAGAGCCGGCAATATGTCTGAATGTACCACTTCAACTCCGAGCGGCGCGGTATGTAGCGGCTCTGTTCCTAAGCCTTGCGAGTCGACTCTGCCGTGTAAGGAGAATATTGGCTGGAGGAGACTTGTACGCAATTTCACACCATCGTAAGTCATTTATCCATTTTGACAAGGGTTGACCACTAACAGCGTCAACAGATGGTTCGCCGTTTGTATGGGTACAGGCATCGTTGCCATATTGCTTCATAACTTTCCTTACCAGGCAATATGGCTTCAGTATATCTCTTACATTTTCTTCGCGCTTAATGTTGTTATGTTTACCGTCTTCCTCGGTATAAGCATTGCACGTTATGCTTTGTACCCAGAGATTTGGTCGGCGATGCTGGCCCATGCTGGCCAGAGTCTGTTCCTAGGATGCATGCCCATGGCCTTCGCAAGTGAGTAACACATTCCTTAGGCTAGGTGAGTGCTGACGTTTTGATAGCTATCATCAACATGATGGTGTTCTGCTTACAGCCATGGGGAGAATGGGTAATATATCTAGCGTGGGCATTCTGGTGGGTTGACGTTTGGCTCTCCGTTGCCACCTGCATCACGATGCCCTTCATCGTCATGCACCGCCATCGTCCTGGCCTCGAAAACATAACTGCTGCACTCCTGTTACCCATCGTCCCAGCAGTGGTTGCGGCTGCTACTGGAGGAATCGTCGCAGAGGCTCTTCCCAATCACCACCATGCGCTTACAACTCTGGTGGCCTCATATGTTCTCTGGGGCATCGGCGAGTTGTTCTCGGCCTGTGTTTTAGCGTTATACTTCCATCGGCTGACCATTCACTCACTTCCTCCGAAGGAGGTGATAACCTCGTCTTTTCTCCCAATAGGACCGCTTGGTCAGGGAGCTTTCGGCATTCAGCAACTTGGCAAAGTTGCTATGCAGGTGCTCCCGAAGACCAATGCTTTCGGTGATGTTGCGGTTCGAGCTGGTGAGATACTCTATGTCCTTGGAGTATTCCTCGCCCTCATCATGTACGGTTTTGCTCTGGTATGGCTGGCTTTCGCCCTCATCAGCATTGCTACAAAACCCCCGTCATTCAGTATTGGCTTTTGGGGATTTACTTTCCCACTCGGTGTATTGGCAACCTGCTCAAACTTGTTAGCAGAAAACCTTGATAGCGAATACTTCAAAGTTTCCACGGCGGTAAGGAACTGAACAAGCTTTACTTATGAGTTACTAACACGAGGATAGATGATAGCCCTCTCTGTCATATTGCTATGGATTGTGGTTGCGACTCGAACCGCCAAACTTGCTATCACAGGCGAAATGTTTCACGCACCTTGCTTGAAGGATCTTCGTGACAAGTCTCAAGCTGCAGGTTCAGACAGAAGAGTCTAGGCGACTTTAGCCTGTCTTGCATCTAACAGCTTGGCCATGTACAATAAATTGATAAACAGGGGGTGGGGACTTAATTTACGACTTGCTTGCCCGGAATTCCGACGCCATTACATATAGAGCAAAATAGTTGTATCGTATCTTTATTTTATCTGCTCAGGCTGCTTTTGACTTCTCGAGACCTGGCCATTCTGCTCCAGATCATACAGTGTAAGCTGCTATCTAATCGCTGCCCCTCCATTGGTGATGCGTGACGATAGCGCAAAGCTCCACTAAAATTCTCGATTCTAGAGGGCGGGGCAACACTGCTTTTCCCCAGATGTCTCTTCAATTATTTGTGTGTTTGCTCTTCCCATATTATTCCCATCGCAAATTCCAAGGGATAGTCGGGCAGTTGGCAGATTATCACAATGGACTGGGCAAATTACTCGTCGCCTTCGCGGCTCGACTCCTTTGTCGATGGTGAGTCTCGTCGCTTTCCCATGGTCACAAATCTGGCCGCTGACTCTTACAGATCTGGTCGATGTCTGGCATCTTCACCGAACTCCAATTCTCCTAACCCTCTGTGTTATCCTTGTCGCGATTCGAACATACTTCCATATCAATGGTCAAAAGACGGAAATAGTTGCATTTAAGAAGGTTTACGATGAGCCTGCCGAGCCCAAGGTTGTCGTCGAAGAAAAGACCCCCACCATCGAGCCAGTCGAAGAGAAAAAGAATGTTAGGTCTCAGGGCCCTCGAAGGATCAAGGGTGGAATAGCGAGGAAGCCATCGAAGAACAAGGAAGAGGAGAAGGATACTACCCGACCTGTCGCACCTTTGGTCTTTTTCTCCTCCATTACAACCAAGACAGCCAAGATTGCCGAGGCGTATATTGCGGATTTCTGTGGAAAGCTCGATGAGTTGTCCAAGCTATCCGGTCGCCAATTTCTCAAGCCTGAACTTCGAGACCTCACCGAAATTGATTTCGATGATTATTTCCTTGCGCCGTACAAGGGCCACGGTGACGCCGATCTCTTCTACCTGTTCCTGATTCCTAGCTACAACATCGACACCATCAACGACACATTCCTTGAGCACCTCCAAGAAACCCATCATGACTTCCGAGTGGATACCGCTCCTCTGTCAGGTATTCTAGGTTATTCGGTATTCGGTTTCGGCGACAGTGAAAACTGGCCTACGGAGGTGGACGGTTTCTGTTTTCAGGCTATGGAAGTCGATAAGTGGATGGCTAAGCTTACTGCTAGAAAGAGAGCGTACCCAGTTGGAATGGGTGACATGAAAAGTGATCACGAAGAACGCCTACAAGAATGGAGTAAGGGTGTGCGAGAGGTCATTGAGCATGTCGCACGTACTGGAAGCTTGGGCGAAGGAGTTCCTGGTAGCGGAGCAGCCGAGGAAAGCGATGTTGAAGACATCGCAGAGGACGAAGATGATGGCGAAGTTGTCTTTGACGACGAAGAACCCAAGAAGAAGTCGAAGAGTTCAAGAGATCTGGATGATGTTGAGGACCTGGGACGCATGATCAAAAAGGATGACGGTTCGACGACTCAAAAAGCACCTCTCGCTGTTGATTTCACTACTTATGGTTCCTCCACAAAGAAGGCAGTCCCCCAAGGTCCCAAAGAAATGGTTGCAAAGGAATCGCCAACATACAAAGCTCTCACCAAACAAGGTTATGCAATCGTGGGATCTCATTCCGGAGTCAAGACTTGTCGGTGGACAAAGTCGGCTCTCCGCGGCAGAGGCTCATGTTATAAGTACTCTTTCTACGGAATCAAGAGCCACTTATGCATGGAAACGACCCCTTCACTGTCTTGCTCGAATAAATGCGTTTTCTGTTGGCGTCACGGCACAAATCCTGTTGGAACAACATGGCGTTGGGTCGTTGATCCTCCTGAATTGATCTTTGAAGGAGTCAAAAAAAACCATTATCAAAAAATCAAGATGTTGCGCGGTGTTCCTGGTGTGCGAGCGGAGCGATTTGCCGAAGCTATGCAGATCAAGCACTGCGCCTTGTCACTTGTTGGAGAGCCAATCTTTTACCCCTATATCAACGAGTTCCTTGGTATGCTGCACGCCGAGCGTATCTCCTCGTTCCTCGTATGTAATGCTCAGCATCCTGATCAGTTGGCTGCTCTCAAGGTTGTGACTCAACTTTATGTATCAATTGATGCAGCTGATAAGGAGTCATTACGGAAGATTGACAGACCTCTCCATCGAGACTTCTGGGAGCGATTCAACCGATGTCTTGATATTCTTCGCGAGAAGCGCTTCCACCATCGTACTGTCTTCCGGTTGACACTCGTCAAGGGTTTCAACGTCGAGGAAGAAGCTGAGGGTTACGCAAGGCTTGTGGAGCAAGGTCTGCCCTGTTTTGTTGAGGTCAAGGGTGTCACATACTGTGGCACATCGACATCTTCCAATGCTGGATTGAGCATGTCCAATGTCCCCTTTTACTGGGAAGTCTGCGACTTTGTTAAGGCGCTAGAGAAGAGGTTGAAGGAAAAGGGACTCAAGTACGGCATCGCTGCCGAGCACGCCCACAGCTGTTGTATCTTATTGGCTAGCGAGAGGTTCTACGTCGATGGAAAGTGGCACACTTTGATCGATTACAAGAAGTTCTTTGAGTTGCTCGAATCGAGGGGGCCTCCTGATGAAGG